AGATATTACTATCACACTGTTTTGTCTTTGATGGGCCTCTTGTCATAGGAAAAGAGATCTGTGAAAATGGGGAAACATACAATTCAGCTGCAAAACACAACCTTGTAATTCTGGTTTTACCTTCAGGAAAAATGGTCCATGCCAAGAAACTTAGCAAATATCAGTTGTATAGCCCTGACCTATCATTTCTTCTCCCCATCCCACCCACCCACTTCTTATTCTACCCTCCATCTATTGCCTTTACTATCTTAGGAAATGATAGTTAATGGTTTGATCAGGATCTCTAAATAGGAAACTACTTTGCCTAATTCCACATTGCAGCAATACACATAAAAAGATAATACATGATACTTACACATACAATAAAGAAATCAAGAATACACCAGCCATTGGTAAAATATTTTCTAAAGCCATATGCCACCCATTTGAGGAGCATCTCCAAGAAAAAGGTACAGAAAAAAAATACATCTGCATAGTCGAGTATGTTTTTTATCATCTTTCTTTTTTCAAGGTAAATGTCTTCAAAGATCTAGAATTATAAATCAGGTGTGATTTAGGGTATAATAAAGTAAAATATTGTAACTTAGTGCTAGCTGATGATGGCAGATCCAATCTGCTATGATAACTGAAAGCCTTCCCAGTTTTAAAAATGAAGAAATTATTTAATTTCTATAATTTAATTAATTGCTATTATTTAATTAAGACAACTCAAAGCCTCCCTGTCCTTGTTGTTCCGCTGAGAACACTGACATTATTATTTATCCCAGCATAAGAACACAGCCCTCTTGGATCAGGCCAAGGTGTACTTTATTACAACATATTGTGGTCAACCTGATGCCTCTAGGCCAGTGTTTCTCAACCTTGGCAGCCTTCACCCAGTATTCTGGGAGTTGAAGTCCATATATCTTAAAGTTCCCAAGGCTGAGAAACACTGCTTAAGACTAATGAAAAATTTGAATATCCTCAAACTTTTACATTTTATATATAAATATATATTATTGAGAATACAAAAGTATCTTATTAATTGTCTTATTAATAAGTATCTTATTAACAACAGAAGCCAAAGAAAAACAGAGGTGACCCAAACCATGTATTTATTATAGTAAACTTACCAGAGCACCACTACTCAATAATATCATGAATATAATAAAAGATTCAAACCAATTATGTTTTATAATTTTGTAACAGGTTTTTCTAAATTTCCACCAAGTGTTGCCGGGAAATGCATTGATATTCACTCTGCAACATGGAAAGAATTTCATGAAGACTGAAATAAAGAGAAATGAAGTGTAGAAGTCATCAGTACCTTGAAATGGATAAGAAGCCAGTCCCTTCCTAATTCCTTTTTAGGGAAGTCTATTTCTTTGTCTTCCCACATCCCTCAATGTCCAACTGATACTCTTTGCAATGTGCAGTTCCCACCAAAAGGACTACAGAGGAAGAGCTACTTGTATGGATGACCCCATCGGGGTTCTTACTTATGAGAAAATTGCCCTAAGCTACTAGCCAAGCAAAGATAACAACATATATGTTTATCTTCCAGGATGCTCCAAGCCCTGCCCAGTTGGTGGGGGGTGGGGTGGAGGCAACTATTTTCACACCCACCATGCTGGCTCCTTGAACTTCGGGTAGGGGGTTTGGTTTCAGTCAAACAGTCCCTCTGACAATCAAGAATTTCTCATACAGAAAAGCATATAAAGCAGTGTTTCTCAACCTTGGCAGCTTTCAATCGTGTGGACTTCAACTCCCAGAATCCCCCAGCCAGCAAGGCTGATATAAAGGAACGAGATAGAATTGGAAAGGATTATGGAGACCATCCAATCCAATCCTCTGTTCAGTGTCAGAATCCAAATTAAAGCATCCTCAACAGATGGAAAGGCTCTGCTTGGATATATCAAGTGAAGGGAAGCTCCCTGTCTCCCTTAGTAATAGGCTTCATAGTCAATGGCTCTTGCTGTCTTTCCTAATAATGCACTGGAACATTCATGCACAGAGCTGGGTTTTTAATAAAAAAGGAAAACAGCTGGGGCTGGATTACCAATGAGAACTGCTTGGGAAAGGCTTAGCATTTTCTGATCCCCTCCTTCTTCCAGCAACATCTCTGCTTACAGTATTATCATTATTGTTGTTATTATTCCTTTAAAAGAAAGTTCGATGTGTTTCTACTACACAAGTGCACCTATTATAAACATGTACTACAGCTGGGTTTGCAGGTTGCTTTTTCACACATTTTGAACTTCCTCTATGTTTCTCATGTGTCCTGTGCTGTGTCTTGCCACAGACATGCGGAAAGTGGAGTAAAGGAAGGATCTCGCATGGAAGCAGGGTACTTTTAAAAAATATGCTTCCTCTTCGTAGACATCTGAAATTAGCCACAATCATAGAAGGACGATGACACACACACACACACACACGAAATGACATCACAATGCAGCCCCACCTTCATGCAACTGCATTTTGATCTCAGATGCAAGTACCTAAATTGCGGGATCTGGGTCACGATGTTAGGACTAACTTTCCATCCTTGAAGTTACTTAGGTTCCTCTTGAATATTTATAAATCACCCCTTTATCAAATTAAAAGCACATCATCCACCTTGCAACCAGATCTTCTTGGCGCTTGGAGTGCTAAAGTAAATGGAGCAATACTTTGCAGTACTGCTACGCAAGGGGCCAGGGCTAATTCCACAAGTAATTTTAAGAGGACTGTGGTAGTCCCACCTAATTTTAATCTCATACAGGAGGAAGCAAAATAGCAATAAATAAAAGATATTCTTTCCTCAGAAATAAAAATTAATAGGGGCTAACATATAACAAATTAAATACATCTACCTGTACACAATATGGTATGCCCAGGAACAGGTGCCCCATAACTTCCTAGGGCCACTGAGGTTTTTATGTTAACAGTCAAACCATTTGGGAAATCAGTTTGGATCAGAAAAGAAATACTGTTCCAATCATGTGAAATCTATTGCAGGATAGAGTACTGACATCAAATAACCCACATCTATTGATCTCACTGGCTGAGGTGTAATACAGGTATATCAAATGATACGAGCAGCAGTGGGATGACCCATGGGCCTGGTTCAGGCCAGGATCAGAGGCAAAAACTGTTTGTTGCTACTTCCTCCTCAAGCCTGTAGTTAGAAGCGATTGCCTATGTTTTTGTTAGCCACCCGGAGTTATTTGTTTAAGAAAGAGGGGCGTATAAATTTGCTTAACAAAGAAATAAATAATGCATTGGGCTATTTACGGGCAGGAATGCATACAGGATTTGGCACATTTGCTAAAAAGGATGGCTGCCACTGATCAAAATTTCAACAGATTTGTTTATCTGGGTGATTTTCTACCAAGAAAGCTGGTCTTCACCTTGTGGGAAACAGTCATGAGGTTCCTTCTTGACCACAGGCAAGTGATGGATGGGAGATCTCTGATCCACAGTGCTGGTCTCTGAACAGCTTGTGTCATATTCTGACCTCTGGATATGAAAAAAAAACCCAAAACCAAACCCAAGAACAATCAGCATCTACTTTATATGGGGAATTAAGATAGCTGTATGCATTATTCAGGGGCATTCTACCCATGATATTAAAAGAAAAAGGCTGTAGCTCCATATACTTTTTATCAGAGCTCTGATGTCTCCAAGAAGTGTGCAGAAAACCTCCTGCATGATACACAAAAAGCTTCTCCATGGCTAAGTTATGCACATCATTGTAAGCCACAAAGAAAACATGGTTTTGGGCCTGTCTGGATCTGGAGATTTTTCATCTTTGGCTATGGATGGGGTTGAACTGCTCCAAACAGCCCCCGTGCACCATTTGAAGGTCCTCCTAGATGCATGGTTCCTCCTTGAAAGGCCTTTGCACAGCTCCATCTTGTGAACCAATTGTACCCCCTCCTAGTCCTTCTCATGGTCACTCATGCCTTGGTCACCGTGCAATTGGATTGCTGCAATGTGCTTTAGATGGGGCTGCCCCCTCAGAAGCTTCAGCTGGTCCAGAAGGCAGCAGTACAAGTAGTTATGGATGTACTTCAATATGTCCATGTGCCACCTCTACTTCATGAGCTGCGCTGGTCACCAATGTGCTTCCAGATGCAATGCAAGGGGCTGGTTCTTACCTATAAAATCCTTTATGGTGAGGGCCAAGTTATTTACTCTTCCTATTTCTGCCAGTCCAGTAAGATCTGATAAAATTGGCATACTCTGTATCCTGTCAGTTATACAATGTCATCTGATCAGACCCAGGAGATGTGCCTTCTCTGTTGCTGCTCGCAGCCTTTGGAGCAACATTCCACCACTCCCGAGATCCAGATGATCCTGACCCTGCCTGCCTTACTGATGGGATTAAAGACCTGGTTCTTTCCTCAGGCATTGGGTCTAGGAGTGGTATGGCCTGTTGGAAGATTTTTTTCCAGCACGTAATGTGTCTCCTTGTTCTGAATTATGTTTTTATGCTGTTTCATTATATGGTTTTCTAAAATTGACTTATTGTTTATTAATGACGTATGCTGCCCTGAGTCATGTGTTGAGGGGGTGGCTGCACAAGTTGATTAAATGAAAATAAATAAATGAATGTGTGAAATGTAAAAACCTTTATAGGTGTCTTGATTGGTCTAGTTGCTACAATAGCTCCTGAACTGAGAAGATTTTGAGTCTATATAATTAGAATTGCTGGAGGGTTTATCGCCCACTCAAATGACATACCTTTGAAGGACAGATGCCACCCGCATGGATTTTAAATTCAAAGGCCACTTGCCACACAAAGGCAGTAAGGTAGCATGGGAATAAAAGGGACCCCTTGTCCTCCCCATAAAAACTCAGCTCTGCCTTCCCAGCCCCATAAGAAGGGCCCGTTGCATGTCAAGGGGAGGAGACCAAACAACACTGGAACCTTTTTGTAAGATTAACCTCAGAACTGTAACTTCTCTAGTCAAATTTTCAGAGAATGCAAAGTATCATTTTCTCAGCAAGTAATAAAGTTATCTTTGATCATTTCTGTTTGCTTTACCTTGGGAACATCTAAAGACCAAATACTTGTACTTTCAGAAACTTGAGAAGAGAGTCTTCGACTTTGACTTTGGTACATTTCTCTCCTCTTTCGTAGATTGTTCTCCTAGAAAAAGGTATCCAAGAAACAGTTTACTATGCTGAAGCGTTTTATTCTTCAAGTTCAACACCAAGAAGCTCCACTACCAATTTTTTGGAAACATAAAATTGTATTGAAATCAGTACATAAGAAATGACAAAACCTTAATCACTTATTCCAAAATATTATCAATGTAAATGGACACATTATGTTAGAATAAATTATGTCATCCACATCCTTTGGGCATGGAACTTGCTTTGCCATGTGTATAAGCATGGGACAGCCATATTTATGGATTATTCAAAAAGTCTATGGAACTCAAAATTTTATTCCAACAGTGGCTGCCCAAATGTCTCCAGAGGCTCATATATACAGTAGAAAGAGAGAAACCCAATATCTCAATATCTCTTTGTTCCCAGCATCTGCTATCCAAGTTACATAGTCTCGATTTTTCAGCTTTGCTATCCTAGCAAGTAGCTCTTATTATCAGTTAACTTGTCTAATTCCTTTAGATACCACCTAAAGGTAACTAGTGTTGATAGCAAATTCAGTTGGTGAATGTCAACAAAAAGGAAGCCAATACAGAACCACTGAAAAACTAGAAAGAAGGTTTTTCCCCAACATTTAATTATATTTTATAGGGAATAAAGAGAGCAATTCATGATGCAAAGGTCTTGCTTCCTACCAGGGCACTAAGGTCCACTTCGGTGATAATGCATTCTTCCTCTGCACTTAACGTCTCCAGTTCAGCCAGAGGAACACAGGCCACATCACTGGAATCTGCCACAACATTTTCCTGTTTCCTACCCCATGGTGGTTTGTCCCAATTCCTGAAAGTTTCCTTGCTAGCAAAATCCTCTGAGATCTCTTTCATGGGCTCAGCGCCACAGGTCTTTTCAATGACAGTTGTCTTGTTCTTGTTCTTAGTGCTTGCCCTCTTCAGCTTCTGCAGGAACACATGGCAACACCAATCCCACAGGAAAAGTCTGACAAATCGCAACCCGCTTCGAATGAGAGCAAAAGCCTTTTGAGGTTGAGGATTGTGGTTATCTGCCTCTGTTTCAGAATCACTGCTGCTGAAGGAGCTCAGCAGCAGAGCTATAAAGAGGTTGAGGACCTGAGTGAAAAACAGCAAGATTAAAAAAACAAATTAGAGAGAAAAGAACCAATCTGAGAGTAAGATACTTAGACTACAATCCTATCCATTGTGCTTGCACCCAGATGGTCCCTGATGGTGCCTCATCCAAGTATGAACTAGGACCCAACCCTGTTTAACTTCCAAGATCAGCAAGAAAGCAATACATAGAGGAGAATCTATCATGAGAACACCTGAGGGGAGAAAAAAAAAGGTCTAAAGTTTCATTTTTGCTTTTTTTTGTTTTGTTTTGCTCTTTAAAGCTACTGTAGAAAGCTTATGAGCTCTGATAAAGACAGAAGACTAGGGAAGAAAACCTCCTTTTTACCTAAAGCTCACATTATACATTATTCTAGAGGTAAATTATTTTTCTGTTTCCAGAAGAAGAAATTAGATGACTGGACTTCTGAGGGGAAAGCCCCTCTCCTCATTTTGTTAACTGAGAAAGGTTCCAATTAAAATAGCTCTGATAAAATCCTTGGAGACTTACCACAAGGTTTCCTAAAACCAGGACCAGCATGAACAGAATTATGCACCGTCCTTCCCCAGCAACTTGCATGCATTCCCACATGGTGGAAATCCATTCTCCACACAGAATTCGGAATATAATAAGAAATGAATGTAAGAAGTCCTTCATATGCCAGCGCAGTTGGCACACCTCGGAACTATTACTGGAAGCCCAATTGAGTGTGCCATCGCTGTTGCAGATGCTAGCATTAGCGGTGACGTTGCTGTAATACTTCCCAAAGGCTTGTTTGCCAATCACAGCAAAAATGAATACAGTGAATATGAGAACAAGGGTGAGGTTACCCAGAGGCCCCACTGATTTCAACATTATTTTCATAAGCTTATTTAAAGCTGGCCAAAATTTTGAAAGTTTGAAGATTCTCAGCTGTTGGGAACAGGCAGGGTTGGAGAGGGAAGGAAAGAATACCAGAAATGAGACAGTTAGATTTGAGTTACACACACACACACAGAGTTCATTCTACAGATAAAATATCAGACCAGACTATTTACACCAAAAGGAAAACCAAAATGCACATTTGGATATACACCCACTTGTACAAATGGATGACATTTACTTCTGGATTATATACAGTGCATGCTTGCCGTTAATGATCTAGAGAAGATTATATTGCTTCCTTAGGCCAATTTATCTCTCTGGATCAACAAGTAAATATGGTGCTTCATCTAATGTTTCTCTGATGACAAGGAATTCTAACAGCTCTGTCAAGAAGAGAGTGTCATTTCAACAGGACATAACTGTCATTATTATATATTATTTGGTCTCACCTTGTACTGTACTAATACAATGACACAGAACATGCATTCAGCACAACAAATGATCAAATTATTGCCATAAATAAGGCAATGGCTCACTTCATTACTCATGTATCATTTTTTTGACATTTTAATTCACTTCATTTAAAAAGGAGTTCATTCATAGGATGTACATAAAACATTTATACATTGACTGTAACAAAAGGGTTCTTTATTACCGTTCTGAAAATTGGTGCACGCATGTTCAACACCAAGTTTATTATGCTTATGATAACCACTATGAAGTCAAAAACATTCCAAGAGCACTGAAAATAGTAATATGGATCCAGTGCAATCATCTTGAGGAACATTTCAGCTGTAAAAATGGCAGTGAACACCTGCAAGAGAATATATCAGAACCAAACTAAACATTTGGCATACAGTAAAATGCAGAACTCTTCTAATCTCTGTCTTTCCCTGAAATGCAATAATACTATTTCTTTCTTCTTTCCTTCAAATTTTATTGTTTTTTTTATAGTAGCATTTCTTACTTATCCTAATGCTGAGCAGAAAAAAATATCCTGCTTTTTTTCCCGTCAGTTCTTACTCAATATGGCGGAAGAGAATTTGCTTTATAAATTCTTTCAAAGAAAGACATTTGGGGGTCGTGGGGTGTTCTCATGCTTATTCAGTGAAGAGATGGCCAATGAGTGTGGGTTCTACTGTATAATCTTAATTTTCAGCCTCCCAGGTTTCTATTAAATCCCAAGGGGGATCACAAGGAAACTCTCTCACTGGGCTGCTTCAGTAACAGTGTTCAATTTCTGAGCAATTCAGAGAATTCATCCATCCAGTTTCTCTGCCCAGAAATGTGGTAGAGAAAGGGCATCCATTTTTGGAGAATCTTCAAGTGACTCAAATGGCATTGGTACCCAGCTCTGATTTATATATTCACTCAGCTTGCCAACCCCTGGGTTTGTTTTCAAGGAATATAGGAAAAATTACTCTACATTACCAAGCCTCATATTCCCAAAAATATACTCAGTTGGCTTGGTATATAGGAACAGCTGCTAGGACACTTTATGCTTCTGATTGGAAATTACATATAATCCCTTCTGTATAAGAATGGCAAATTCAATTGTGGGAGGACGCATCAATGATAAAAATAACCTCTCATCTGAAAGACAAACCCGAGACAGAATTCATTTCAACATGAAAATCATTCCTGGATTATAATTCCACATATGGGCTTGTACCGCATCCAAAGTTTGGCTCTCTTCTAACTTAAGGTTTCAACATTTAAGTTTCTTTATGATTTGCTAAATAAAGATAAAAATTTTAGACCAGGCAGAAATTACTATAATCTCCCATCTTGATTTATCATTTACACTATTCTGGTTATTGTTATTGTTATTAACTATTGCATACTAGCTTTATCTGAATAATGATCTGGAATTTTAAACCGGCGTAAGGTATTTTAATACATAGAACCAAAAAAATGAATTCTTTGCTTCATAATGCTTATAAATCTCTTTGCTATTTCCTTTTTGGTTTTTTTAAACCTCTTTTTCCCTCCTTGATTGTGTTTTTAAGAAAGAAAGAAAGAAAGAAAGAAAGAAAGAAAGAAAGAAAGAAAGAAAGAAAGAAAGAAAGAAAGAAAGAAAGAAAGAAAGAAAGAAAGAAAGAAAGAAAGAAAGAAAGAAAGAAAGAAAGAAAGAAAGAAAGAAAGAAAGAAAGAAAGAAAGAAAGAAAGAAAGAAAGAAAGAAAGAAAGAAAGAAAGAAAGAAAGAAAGAAAGAAAGAAAGAAAGAAAGAAAGAAAGAAAGAAAGAAAGAAAGAAAGAAAGAAAGAAAGAAAGAAAGAAAGAAAGAAAGAAAGAAAGAAAGATAGATGATCCTCACAGCAGGACTGAATAAGCACATCATTCATTTCTGACAGCAAGCATGGATCAACATTCTGGAAACTTGATACTCCTGTAAAAGGATTTCTGAGTTGCTGTCATGCCAAACAGAGTATATTAGCTAACTCTATGCAGTTCCACGTGTTTAAGTCATAAAATACACCATGATGGGCAGGGAATTAGCAGGCTCCATGTGCCTGATATGCTAAGGCAATTGCCTGGAGTCCTCAAAATATTGCTGATGAATCAGGCATTTTACTAGTTTCTTTTTTCACCTGATATCCACTTCCAGGGGCATGGGGTGGGGGAAGGCATTAAAAAAGTCAACGTGGTGACAACACCATCTTGATATTTTTGACTCCCCCTGCAGATGCCCTGGTCACTTCATTATGCAACTGACTGATTTCACAGAGAACTGCAGAAGAAGAAAATGAATAATTTAATGCACAATTAATAGGTACAACATTTAGAGTACCGAGGTTTCAAAAAGGAACAACGTTTTCCCAGAAAACATAATTATTGGCTGGAATGCACCTTAGTAAGAAGTTGAATTCACTTACATGATTTCCTTTAGTAACCTGTTCTGGTGATAATGAAAGTTGTTCTAATGCCATTAGCATGGTATTTGCTATAATGCACAGTGTAATAAATAGTTCCATTAAAGGGTTTATCATTATTTTCTTCAATGTATCCTTTATTTGCAACCACAGCGGACAGCATTGCCAGACGAGGTATCTTTTGACAGCTTGTTTCAGGCTGGGAGGGAATTCAAATTTGGGTTCATCCCATTCTAAAGATCAAGAAGAACAGAATTACAAGTTATTATTTTAGAACTCGAGGCAGGATAACAATTTATGTTATAACTTCCCGGGGAATCACTGCCATTAACACACATGCACGAACTGACAATGCATCTGATGAAGGGAGGTGCAGCTAACAAAAGCATATGATATGTCTTTTCATAAAATTTGTTAGTCAGAAAAGGTGCTGCCAAACTCCTTCAGATTGTTGACTACTATAGACTAACACAGCTGTCTTCCTGCAGCATAGAAGAAACAAGGTTGTGAAGTTTTCTGCATCTCTCTCTCTTACACACACACACACACACACACACACACACACGCAGTAAGTATTGAG